CACCTACAGTCAACTAGGGCTCTATACTAAACAAATATCATGAATAATTTGTGTAAAGTGGTTTTACATGAGTAAACTGACAACTTAATTACTATATATTAGTTGCTTTTGGCTAATCTTGTGCTGGTGTAGCACACAATAAGTATAATGATTTTATTCAACAACGACATTAGGTACGCAGTATACTATTGATTAAACTGTTAAATTTTACATCATTACCTCTTGAATATAATCATCAGTATGATTTCATAAATCAAGATTCTTTCATAAGTAAACAAAAAAATATTATCTGACATGGTACGTCTTATAAGATTATATGTCCTTCCACCATAAAACTCTCAAACTGAAAATGGATTCCCACCTTTTTAATTTATTGGAGCAAAGAAATCAGCTCTGGCTGGCTGGAGATAAATAATCCTAGTTAGTGGGTCAGTAAATAGATTTTTTATACCGACGGACCCAAGCCCACAACGCTCAGTTAAATGGAGAATATTTGCAACTATAAAATGTTGAAAGCCCACAACACCCTTTCTTGCTTTGCGGAGAGGCCTGGAAAGTGGAAATTTTGAATTAAGGAAGTGTTGTTGTAGAATCTACATATATTATTTGGCTTAGGATAGGGTGAGTAACCTTTTGTTACTCACCCGTGAGTAACCACCTAGGGACCGTTGATCTAGGCCGGACTGATCTTGTGGCTGTGATTGATTCGGTGATGGTCAGGGGCATTTTTGTCCGATATTTGAATTAATTACTTTCCCTCTTTATCCGTTGCGAATCTTTCTGTGCGCGAGCTGATTTGGGTTTATGGAGAGAGAAACTGCGAGCAGCAGCTGGGGGCGGCGAGTTTTTTCTCTCCATAATTTATCGACGGCGAGAACTTAGGTGGATTACCTAAATCGACAGCGAGTTTATCTCCAGTTAGATATTAGTTTTTCTGATTCTTCCTGTTTAGCTAATCGAGCTTTCTGTTGATCTTTGGTTTCGTTGAGCGTTCTGTCGATCTCTGGTTTCGTTGTAGGTTTTTTGTTGCGATAATTGCTAGTCGAGCTTGTTCATGTTTAGCTAATCAAACGTGTTTGAGTTTCTCTGGTTTCGTTGTAGGTTTTGTAGATGTTACTTTGTCTGAGTTTCTTTGTGTGTTCTGTTTAGCTAATCGAGCTTGTTCATGTTCATGTTCTTTGTGGTTTGGTGTTTTTGCAGTATTCTGGTGAGATGAGTTATGTAAATTGCGTCGATGTTGTTCCATTAGATAGATCTGGTTCTTCAACCAGAGTTGTAGGATCTGGTTCTTCATCTAGCGTTGTTGGAACTGCTTCTTCATCTATCGATCTTGGATTTGGTCATTCAGCTAACTTTGGTGAATCAGGAGGTAAGATATACAAAGTTGTGTGTTTATTGAAGTTTGAATGTGTTAGATACCATATGGTACCGTGGTGGTAATTACTGGTATACGATGAGAGGTGATACTATAGTGTTGTGTTGTGATGTTATTGTGTTATGTATTTAACTTTTACCATATCATACCATGGTGGTAATTACTCATGGTTGTAATCATTGGTATATGATGAGATGTGATTCTGTTTTGGTGTGGAATTAATTTAGCCATATCTTACCATGGTGGTAATTACTGGTATATGCTGAGATGTGATTCTGTTGTGGTGTGGAATTCATTTTACCATATCATACCATGGTGGTAATTACTTGTACCATGGCTGTAATCATTGGTATATGCTGAGATGTAATTCTGTTGTGGCGTGGAATTCATTTTACCATATCATACCATGGTGGTAATTGTTGCATGATAGATGTAATTTTGTCATATCTTACCATGGTGGTAATTACTGGTATATGCTGAGATGTGATTCTGTTGTGGTGTGTAATTCGGTTTACCATATCATACCATGGTGGTAATTACTTGTACCATGGTTGGAATCATCGGTATATGCTGAGATGTGATTTTGTTGTGGCATGGAATTCATTTTACCAGTTCATACCATGGTGGTAATTCTTGTATCATGGCTGTAATTATTGGTATACGTTGACATTTCATACTGTTGTGGTGTGGAATTAATTTTGTAATATCTTACCATGGTGGTAATTACTGGTATATGCTGAGATGTGATTCTATTGTGGTGTGGAATCCATTTTACCATATCATACAATGGTGGTATTATATTTGTACATATTTAATATGTTGCTTTATAATGTTTGTAGGTTTCAATGGTATATATCCTACTGTTCGTGATTCTTGGAAGGACTTACAGTTCAATACACCAGATGATGCATATAATTTCTATGTGGATTATGGGAATTATGAAGGTTTGATTTACCAACAATCAGCATGTCCGAAGCTCAGTGGTGGTTCTTCAGCTGTTTATTATATCAAGTATTGTTGCAATAAGGAAGGTTGGAGAAAAGGTAGTGAGAATAACCCTGATAATGTAGGTGTTGTTGATACGAAGGTTCGTGTTCGTAATGTTCCAGAACTCAGGGGTGGATGTAATGGTGCTTATATACGACTAAGGTGGTTTAAAGAGTTGAAATGCTACAAGATCTATCGTTGGTATAATGTGCACAACCATGACATGATTCCTGAGTCTCTGCGTCACTATGTCAGATCCAGCAGACAAATGGCTCCTGTGTACAAGATGTTGGCAGAGGTGAATGATGTTGCTGGTATTGGTGTTACTTCTTCGTATAATGCAATTAATAGGACTAGTGGTGGTCGGAAGTTTGTTGGTTTCACAAAGAATGATTTGAAGAACCATCTGCGAACTGTGAGAACGTTATCAATGGAGTATGGTGATGCAACCGATTTCTTGCATACTTTAGACGTCAAGCACAGCTGGATCCTGGATTCTTTCATGAGGTGGAGGTTGATGTTGAAGAGAACATTGCTAGTATTTTTTGGGCAGATGGGAAGATGCGGATGGATTATCATTATTTTGGTGATTCAATTAGTTTTGATACTACTTATCGGACTAATAAAGAGTATCGACCACTAGGTATGTTTTCTACTTTGTTGTTTATTATTGTCTTTGTGAGTTTGTATGCTTATTTTTATCTTTCTGCATCATGGTATATATGAGGTGGTGTTTGCGTTCTGGAAGTCTGTACCATATGGCATGGGTTGGTATGGAGTATGGATTAGTGTTTTGTTCTTAGAAGTCTTTACTATACGGTATGGGTTGGTATGGATTAGTGTTTTGTTCTTAGAAGTCTGTACCATATGGTATGTGTTGGTATGGATTAGTATTTTGTTCTTAGAAGTCTTTACCATATGGTATGGGTTTGTATGGATTAGTGTTTTGTTCTTATAAGTCTTTACCATATGGTATGTGTTGTTATGGATTAGTGTTTTGTTCTTAGAAGTCTTTACCATATGGTATGGGTTGGTATGGGTTGGTGTTTTGTTCTTAGAAGTCTTTGCCATATGGTATGGATTGGTATTATTGTTATTTGTACCTTATACCACGTGGTATGTGTTGGTAGAATTGTTTTTACTCACATTTTTTTTTATGTTTTTGTAGCTTTGTTTGTTGGTTTCAACCATCATCACCAACTCACTGTCTTTGCGGCTGCTCTCCTATATGATGAAACAACAGCAACATTTGAATGGATTTTCGATCAGTTTTTGAAATGCATGGGAGGTGTGAGACCATCATCAATGTTTACTGATCAGGCTGTTGCAATTGCTGCTGGTATAAGGTCTGTTTTCGCAGATTGTTTTCATGGGCTGTGTACATGGCATATTGCTTAGAATGCAGTTGTTAATCTGGGAAGTTTGTGTGACTCTGATTTCCTACGTGAGCTTAGTTATTTGATGTATAATGCTGATGATGAGGATGATTTTGAGTATAATTGGAAGAAAATGATTGAGAAATGTTTTCCTGGGAAGGGACCTTTGGGACACAGTTGGTTATAGGGAATTTACAAAGTCAGGAAGAAGTGGTCTTCAGCCTGGGTGAATTATTATTTTGGTGCTGGAATGAAGAGTACCCAGCTAAGTGAATGTTGCAATAGTAATATTCAACATTACTTGCAGTCAGAGTTTAGCGTTAGTAGATTCTTTGTGCACTTTGAGAGGATGCTTGATAATAAGAGGGATGCTGAAGAACAAGAAGAGTACTATGCCTTATCTAGGTTGGCTGATTCTCAGTTTTCTACTAGTCCTATTGTGAAACAAGTTGCTAATGTGTATACGCCGAAGATATTCAAGTTTTTCCTGGATTGATACAAGGAATCTCTTGCGTATAATATTTTTTCAAATACGGAGATAGAACCAGAAGGACATGTAGGAATGTTTGATGTCTTCATATTGGAGGATGACCTTACAAGGTTAGATAGTAGGGTGTTGAAGGTTGATTTTGATAATGGTGAAATCAAGTGTTCCTGCCATAAGTGGGAGTCAAGTGGTTTGACCTGTAAGCATCAAATGAAGGGATATGATATGTTGTGGTCTACAATAAGAGATGACCATAACAGTAGTTTCATTCCATCCTACTAACTGACACAAATGAAGTGACTACTGAACATTGTGAGTTTGTTCTCAAAAGCTTAGTTATATCCTCCTACTACTTAACACAACCATAATAGAATTTTGATGTCCTTTCTTTCAAATCTTCCTCTTTTTCTTCATATTGCAGTACTTTGTTGCAACTTTCATGATCCTGTCTCGTTCAAGATTGTCTTCATCAATGCAGTTAAAAGCTAGCTTTAAAGCGTAAAAGCGTACGCTTTTATGCTTTTAACCTCACAAATATCGTAGCTTCTATGTAAAAAGCGTTGTGCGTCAAAAGCGATGTAAAAGCGCAGAAGCGTAGTGAAAGCGGTAAAAGCTAGCTTTTCAACCGCTTTTGAAAGCTTTTGGTATTAGGTAACATAACTAAGACCGGGTTGGGTTTTGGTCGGATTTCGGCTGGGGTTTGATGGCCAAAAAGATAAAACGACGCCGCTAAATGCCCATCAAAGTTTGTAAACTCGGCTGTCCTTCTCAAAACCTAAAACCCTAAATTTCCAAGCTTCTCCTCCATTACCCTGACTCGGCTGCAAAAAGAATCGCCTTCGGCGGCACCAAAAAATCCAGGCGAAGAGACTCCAGGCGAAGAACTCGTCCCTGCTTCTGCCGACCATCGCATCCGCTTCTTCTCCTCCAGGCGAAGAGACTCCAGGCGAAGAGACTCCGGCGTCCCACTAAAGAGACTCCAGGCGAAGAGACTCCGGCGTCTTGGGAGGGTTTTTGCCCCTGCTACTGTAAAGTCAAAGATCTCTTTAGTCGTTACTTTGCTTAAATGAGAATAGATTGTTGTTGTTCCTTTGTTATGCCCACGATCCATTTTTGTTACTTTGAGTTACTTAGATTTATATATATTGTTTCTGGTTTTTTTACTCCACTCGTCCCTGTCCAGCTGCCTCTATCCAATTTGTTACTCATTTAAATTGTTCATTTGAGTGATTAATTTGCTTGCCATGATTAATTTCTTAGCCACGAAAAATTTGCTTTCCATGATTAATTTGACTTGAGTGATTAATTTTGTGTAATGGTGTGAAATTTCAGATTTGGATTTTCTTATATGGCGTCCTCTACAGCATCTGTACCTGGTTCTAAAGCTAAGGCTAAGCATAAAAATGCAGCTGGGACTCGTGGTGATCCGGGGTGGGATCATGGAATTGATCTTGATTGTAATGGTGTAAGGGTGAAATGCAATTACTGTCAGAAGGAATACAAAGGGGGCATCTATCGGTTGAAGAATCATCTTGCAGGAAATAAGGTTAATGTTGAGGCTTGTCTTAGTGTGCCTGATGCAGTTAGGAATCAATTTCGGGAATTGTGGGATGCCAAAGAAGAAGCAAAAGCGACAAAAAGGAAACGTTTGCATGATTATGGACAACATGAGGATGAATGTGTTATAAGAGAAGGGGCATCCAACAATGATTCAGCTAGTGCATTTGATATAAGGAAGCATTTAGCTAGTGGCAGTGACACTAAGAAGCAAACAACAATGAGTGCTCTTTTGAAGAAAGAACTCAGGCAAAAAGCATGCAAGACAATATCAAAATGGTTCTATGAAAATGCACTTCCGTTCAATTCATTGAGGAGTTATACATATCCTCAGATGTGGGAAGATGTAGCTCGACATGGTCCTGGTTTTAAGCCTCCATCCTACCATGAGATAAGGGAGACATTTCTGAAAGATGAAATAAAAGTAGTGGAGGAAAAACTTGAGATATTCAAAGATGAATGGAAGACAATGGGTTGCACAATCATGTCTGATGGATGGACCGATAGGAAAAGGCGTTGCCTTTGCAACTTTTTGGCTAACAGTCCTAGAGGTACTGTATTTATCGAGTCTGTCGACACTTCAGATTTTCCAAAGACTGCTTCAAAGGTGTTTGAAATGCTAGATGATATTGTTGAGAAGGTTGGGGAAGAAAATGTTGTCCAGGTTGTGACCGATAATGCTTCAGCTTACAAAGCAGCAAGGAAATTATTAATGGAGAAGAGAAAGCATCTATTCTGGACACCATGTGCAGCTCATTGTATAGACTTGATGTTAGAGGATTTTGAGAAGCATATTAAGGTTCACAAGTCTACAATCACCAAAGGTAAGAAGATTACAAATTTTATATATGTGAGGCCGATGCTTATTGCCATGATGAAGGAGTTCACTGCGAATAAAGAATTGGTGAGGGCAGCTGTTACAAGATTTGCTACTTCTTATCTGAGTTTGGGATCTCTTAGTGAGAACAAGGGTCAATTGATGACAATGTTCTCTTCAGAGAAGTGGAGAAAGAGTAGCTTTGCTAGTATTCAATAAGGAAAAAGAGTTCAGGGGATTGTTCTTGATGGTAGATTCTGGCGTGATGTGACAACCTGTCTTAGAGCTGCACTTCCTCTTGTGAAGGTTTTACGCTTGGTTGACTCTGATGAAAAACCAGCAATGTCGTTCTTGTACTTTGAGTTGACTGAAGCAAAGGAGAAGATCAAGAAAAACTTCAACAATGTGGAAAGCAGGTAACTTTTAAGATGACTATGTTTTATTATGTTTTATTCTTTACATGAGCAATGACAATGTTGCTTTTTTATTATAGATACAAGCCAGTATTAAAGATCATTGAGAAGAGATGGGAAGATCAAATGAGCAGACCATTACACTTTGCTGCATTTTGGTTGAATCCTCAAGTTCATTATGCTAAAGGCTTCAATCATAATGATAAAAGGGTGAAACTAGCATTGTATGAATGTGTGGGAAGATTGGCTAGGGATGAAGAAGAGAAGTTTAAGATAATGGAACAGATGGATGCATTTCATTATGCTAGAGGCATGTTCAATCAGTTTGGTGCAATGTCTTTGAAGGATAGGAAACATCCTGCTGATTGGTGGAATTCATTTGGAGATGAAGTACCAGAACTGCAGAAATTTGCCATTCGAGTGCTGAGTTTGACTTGCAGTGCTTCTGGCTGTGAGCGTAATTGGAGTGCATTTGAGAGGGTAAGTAAAATTATTTCTAGTTTCTATAATTATATCATGTTTGATACTTTATCTAGTTTGTCATTGCTAATGGTTTTGCATGTGCTATATATTTGTTTTTGAAGATTCACACTAAGAAAAGGAACAATTTTCAAACCCAAAAGTTGAATGATCTTGTATATGTCATGTGCAACAACAAGTTATTGGGGAATGTCAAGCAAGCAAGAAAACTTGAAGTAGCATTTGAGGACATAGACTCTGACAATGAATGGATTTGTGGGGATGACAATGAAGAAGAAGAGCCACAAGTTGGAGATTTGGAAGATACAAATGCGAAAACTGATTATGTGGTTCGATTTGATGATGGAAGTAATTATGGTGAGGATAGTACTAGTTTTGGTGATGTTGCAAGAAATGATGGTGATGACGATGATGGTGATGAAGAAGATGATGATGACTTGGATGCAACTGTTGATGTCGATGAACTGATGTAGTTTCATTTTGATGGTTTGGAACTTTTCTTAATATGATTTTCGCAGTATGGATTTTAAGCTCGCTTGTGAGTCATGAATTCTATTAGTGTGTAACTTGTCTTTTATGATTAAGAACTTATTGTTGGGACTTGTGACTTAGATTTATTATATTTAAAAGCCTATCATTTAGTTTGTGTGTGTGAATATCTTTTGATATGATCTAACTCGCTTATTTGTTTATATATGCAGAATACATGCTATAGTTAGACATTTTTAATATAATTTACAGTATATGTAAAAGCTTTCGCTTTTACGCTTCCGCTTTTACCCATCATTTCGCTTCTACCTAAAAGCTAGCTTTTGACTGCATTGGTCTTCATCAAGAATGATGTCCAACATCAGGCACTCTCTTTCTTCATTTATCAGATCAATCCTCTTCCAATCTTTGCTCACGACATTGTTGTACTTACCTTGCCAATGTCTCATACACCTGATGATGTACATACCACATGACTTGGAGTCTGGTTGTGTAACCTTTTCGAGGTTGAACCAGGTAAACCTCTCCCACTTTACTGTCATGTGTGCAAACTGTGTCTTCATGTAGTTGATTGCGTACTGGACAACACTCTCTGCCATTGGTTTGTAGTTTTCTTTGAAACTTTTGTTACGGAGGCTGTCGAGAACGTCTAACCTTTCTCCTTTGATGTTCACACAAATCATGATGTAGTGCTTGTTATCACAGTAAGGGAAGAACCACTGCAAAAGAATTTTACCATAATATACCATATGGTAAGCACTTGCCACATGTTATGATATAAAATTGTGTTGAGATACTTACTAGGTTACATTCTGTGAAGCTGAGGTCTTTTGCCCATTCTTTGTTGGTGATGTCCAAGTCCACTCTGTTGTAGTAATCATCTGGAGTTAGTAGAGGATTGTCACTATCAATGTCCAGTTGGCAGTCACCCTGAAAGTCGTGGTTGTTATTTTATGTTTTATATAAGTGTTTTCTAAGAACTATTGACAGAATATGGGTGGGTTTACTTACTGCCAAAGATCCATCGAAAACCCACCTTTTGAATTTTCCTTTTTTTGCTTCATTCCTGTTCATTCGATCTCCATACAAGTCGTGACATCGTATGTGATTTCACAGTCAATGTCAATCGACTGTAATGACTCCCTTTTCAGTAAGAATGTTGCATCCTTCCTTCTAAACATTATCTCTTCACTGTATAAAAGCACATCACAACAGGGACTTATGGGTTATTCTATTTTATAACATTAAACCATAGGTTACCACATCTTACAATATGGTATTAAACCAAAATAAAACAGGACTTGTAGATTTATCTAATCTTACCATATGGTAATAAACCAAAACACAACAGGAGTTATGGTTTATTCCATTTTATAACATCAAACCACATCTTACCACTTCTTACCATATGGTAATAAACCAAAACACAATAGGAGTTATGGTTTACTCCATTCTATAACAACAAATCATAGCTTACCACACCTTACCATATGGTAACAAAGTAAAACACAACAGGACTTGTAGATTACTAAATTTTATAACATTAAACCATAGATTATCACATCTTACCATATGGTAATAAACTAAAACACGACAGGACTTATGGAATACTCCATTCTATAATATCAAACCATATCTTACCATATGGTAACAAACTATATCACAACCGTATTTATGATTTCTTCATTTTTGTAACATCATATAACATTAGAAGTTTTAAGGTGATGACTTACCTGTTGACAACATTTTTGTTTTTGCATCTTATGTACTCCAGGATGTTGCTAAACAGTTCATCAGGTGTTGTTTCTGCTGGTGTTGTCATACTTGAAATGGGTGATCTTTGTGATTTTGCAGCAGGTAGTTGAACAGTTGGTGTATTCAGGTCCTCGAGGTAAGCATCTATACATTCACGTACTTCCTTGAGCTTCTCTTGGTTGTTTGTGTACAGATTTGATCATGTTATATATGACTCCTTTTGTGACTGGGTGGTTTGTGGCTGTGTATGTGGTGGTGGTGTTCTCAGCTTCTTTTCATTTCCATGCACATTCTTCACCACGATTCTTCTTTTGCGATACTCTTCTGGTTGATTAGTTCTCGTGGTCGTAGTCAGCTTTACTGTTGTTGTTGGTGTTTGATGGTTGAGAGGGCTGAGATCGAAGGATGGAATGTCACCTTCCCTAGTCAATTTTGTTGTCTCAGCATCCTTGGTTGGCAATTTAGGAATCTCTTCTCGAACAATATCATCTGACTCTATATTCTCGCTGTCACTGTCTTCAGGCTTTTCCACAGCTTGACCTGCATTCCCTTCTTGTGGTGTTTCCTTATCAAGATCCATTGGATCTGCCGTTTCTCTAGGTCCTTCTTCTCCTGTTTCTTTTGTTGGAGATTAATAGAGTCGTTGGAATATAATTTAGGGACTAAAACAAAAGTTTTTAATCAAGTGAGAGAATCTGGCATTTCTTGTCTTTTTCTAGTGGGTATTTGGCATAATTTTTTGGTATTTTTGGCTTTTTAGCTTTTTCCAATTGTTGTTGGAGGTTGTATTTTAGCATTTTTTGACATTTTGGCTTAGTTGTTGGAGATGGTCTTATAGGTTAGTGATCGGTTGACCTCATCGTTTTTTGTGGGTTTGATGAAGTCACGGTTCTTTATGAGCTCGATCCTTTTAGAAGGCCACCTTTGTTGAGACATGGTCCAATAGTTCAGTTCGATAACAATTTGGTAACCAAAACGAAAAAATTTAGTATCTGTGTGATACATGATCCGAATTTGAGTTTATGTATTGTCGTCATCTATAAACTTAAACTCTTCAATATGTGTCTAAGCCTCCTCTGTTTCCGATGGTTATAGCCCCATTTTAACTTTATTTCGTTATGTGATTGTTATGATCTAGATTATTTAGACCCCAAACCATTAGTTATATTTATAATTATGGTCTTATTCTAGATTTATTTCTGACACTTAACCATTAACCAGCTTGTTGTTTATAGAGGCGATTTAAAACATGATTTATATGTTGAATTTAGAATAACATTAATAATATTTTGTACCCCTCTACCACTATAAATTAACAGACATACATGTTTGTTTGTTGTTCTTATTAGACTGTCTCCAACCCTTGCTTGCAAATTTGGAGAAAGTGAACTTTTTGTCTTTTTTCATCTCCAACCCACCAATAATATAGCTTGCAAATTTGGAGAAGTGAGTGTTGGGGTGGATAGATAGCAGCTCAGATGGAGAAAATGGCAAAAATAGCAGCTGGAAGGGGGGACACCGCGTGCAGGCGAAGGCCCCACTAATCTGCTGCTGTCTTTTTTTTCAATTTTTTGGAGTGGTTATTTGTGTGGGTGTGTTTGCATTTTAGTTTGAAAGAAGTAATATAGTGACAATAAAACGGTCACATTGCAACGGACACATTTTAACAGACATAAAACGGTCATATTTTTTTCTATATAATGAGTAACTTCTCATGGTTTTTCTGCACTCATTCTCAAATCAATTTCTCTCATTCTCATCTATTTATCATCTCTCAAAACAAAAACATGTCAAGTAAGAGAGGACCCAATTGGAAAGCTCATGAAGATGTAAACTTGTGCAAATCTTGGATATCAATATCTGAAGATGGAGCGGTTGGCATCAATCAAAAGAGCACGAGATTATGGGAAAGGGTGGAGAGGGAATTTCGAAGAACCGATTCTACAACAATTCGTACTACGGATTCAATGGAATCCCGACTGAGACTTATCAGTAATAAGTGTAAAGTTTGGAAGGGAGCTTTGCAGAGGGCGAAGAGGAGTCAAACGAGCGGTACCAACCAAGTTAATGTGGTATTGTTTTGGAAACTTTAACTTTTGTATTTCTTATTTTTATGTATATTTACTTATCTAACTTGTGTATTAATAATTTTGATAGGAATTTGTAGCAAGATCGATATATAAGGAAGAGAATGGGGACAAAGCCTTTGAACATGAGCATTGTTGGGTCATCCTTCGAAATTTCCCAAAGTGGTATTGTGGCCCTCAATTGGTTGTCGGTCCAATTCCACCTATGGGTCAAGGTTCTCAAAGTTCTCCCATAGGTATTGGTTCTCAATTCTCCCCCGTGGAAGGCCTCAACGACATACCAGACGAGGGAGCTACGCCTTTCGTGTTGTCTCGCCGTGAAGGACGCGACAAACAAAAGGCATCAAAAAAGAAAGGTAAGGTAGTTGCGGAATCGTCAGGCATGTACACTACTCAACTGCTAGAGTTTGGTAATGATATGAGAGAGAGGCAAAAGTCAAGGATGGAGTACGAAAATAGAAAAATTAATCTTCAAGAGAGGAGACTAGAGAGGGAAGCCGAGGAATGGGCATACAAGAGGCAAGTGAGGGAGCAGGAAGCAGAACAATGGGATCTTGAGAAGAAAGAGAGGGAGGCCGCAATACTTCAACAAAATATGAATATTCTGGAGAAGGATTTGTCAAAGATGACACCAAGAAAGAAGAAATTTTGGAGGAGTAAACAAAATGACATCTATGGTTACGATCAAGATGATCCCAACTCTAATCCAGGAGATGGCGGAGATGGAGATGCAAGTGGTGGAGGAGATGGAGATGAAAGTGGAGGTGATTACTTTCCTGTTATGGATTATGATTAGAAGAAGGTCCTATGTGTACTAATTGAGACTTTTATGTGTAATAAAAAACTAGTCGTTATTGAATCTTTTGACTAACTACAAAACGCACTTTATTGAAACATGAAATACACACACACTGAAACTTAAAATACAAACTACCAAACAAGCAATACAATCCATAATTAAACAATACTAGTTATTGCCCTGCAAATTCCAAAGATGCTCAACCAAGTCATTTCGAAGCGCATGATGTGTTGTTGAGGAGCGAATCCTATTATTTCTAGCCAAATAATCAACCAGAGTTGGAACGTGTCGGTTGATTGGTTGAGGTTGTTCATGGACCTCATAATCAAGGTCATTATCCATCTCATCATCAGATGCAACTTGCTCATCCTCGATTATCATGTTGTGTAATATAATGCATGTCAACATTATATTGTTCAGTGTGACAACATCCCAAGCTCTTGCAGGGCCACGAACAATTGCCCATCTTGCTTGGAGGATTCCAAATGCCCGCTCTACGTCTTTGCGGTGTGCTTCTTGACGTTGAGCAAACAAAGCCTCTTTGTTTGACCTTGGATTGCTGAAGGTCTTCAATAAAGTCGACCATGAGGGATAAATACCGTCGGCCAAATAATAGCATTGATCATAAGCATGGCCATTTACCTCAAATCGTACATGTGGAGCGCTTCCATTGACAATACGATCAAACACTGACGACATCCCCAGAACATTTATATCGTTGTTCGATCCAGGAGACCCAAAGAAAGCATGCCATATCTATGTGTTGTAGGAGGCCACCACCTCTAGAATGATTGTTGGCCTATGCATGTGGCCGGTGTATTGTCCTGCCCAGCCACTTGGACAATTCCTCCATTCCCAATGCATACAGTCAATTGATCCAATCATTCCTGGCAAGCCACGTCTTGAGGCTTTACTGAGTAAGATCCTTAAATCGGCAGGAGTAGGTGCGCGAAGATATGTGGCCCCATACATGTTGATAATGTTGTTGCAGAACTTTCTGAAGACCTCCATCAAAGTGCTCTCACTCATACGAACATACTCGTCAAGTTGATCAGCTGGAGAACCATATGCTAGCATGCGCATCGCACCAGTAAGCTTCTGCTCTGGAGATAATGATAATTGACCCAAGCTATCACGCCTTACAGCAAATGAGGGGTCAAACCTCACAATGTCGCCCATAATGCGATGGAATAATCTTGGTTGCATCCGATAGCGCCTTCTAAATATGCAAGCATTGTATACTGGATTTGGATCGAAGTAATCCCTCATAAGACGGCGATTACATTCGACCCTTTCACGATCAATGTGACATCGACTTGTAGTTTGACGTCGACTTGATGAACCTTCAGCCAGCCTCCGGCCGATTAAACTCAACCGTAGGTGGTGAAACCTCTCGTACTCTTCGATTTCTTCTTCTCCTCCCGACGATGAGCTATCTGACATACTCATCATGAATGTGTTTGTTTTAGAAATGGGAAGAAGTTTCACTGAGTTGATGAAAAATGAAGAATTGTAATTTATAAACACATATGATGCACAAAACGACAAAAAAAGGTCATAAAGTAACGGCTAAAAAAAACGGTCATATTTGGATTGGTCCAAAAAAACGGTCATAAAGTAACGGCTACAAAAAATGACTACTTTTGCAAAAAAAATATCTCGGAATTAAAAAAAATTACATCGAAAATTTTGTTTTCACAAGTAATAACAAACTATAAAAAAAATTAAAGTGAATTACAAGATTGATATTGTAAATAAGTATGGATTATGGAAATTAAATCAAAAAAAGATGTGGGTAGCTAAATTTGGAAGCCTATAGGGTTGGAGCAAAAAAGTATTTTGGGGAGGCAAAAATGCACATTTGAGAGCTTGGGAGGCTAAATATAGTCTTTTGGATTAGAGTTAGTCTTAATTAACCAAATGCTAAGCAAGAGGTGGGGAAAGCCAAAGCAAAGCATCTATTGCAGCATCGGATCCGGATGTGCTTCTGGGGAAGCGAAACCGTTCCACTATTTTCCTATTAAATAAAAAACCGTTCCTCGAGCGAAAGGACAAACAGCATGGGTTTACCTGGTGGGCCGGATACTCATAATTTGTGGACATATTGCTACGTGGTGATTTATATTCACCAAGCTCATAATTTGCTGGCCCAATTTAATCAATGGATTGTTGGGTTAGGGATCTATATCCTTAATATTATATTACCTTACTACCCTTCTTTCTATAAGATTTATAGCTTTATTTGTATTTCTAGTTTAATACTTTGTGGACATATTGCTAATTTGTGCTTCAAAATTGACAGCTTATAGCATGTTAATAAACTTATTAGCAACAATACATTAGGAGGTGTGGGATATGAGCTTTGATGGTACCCCGATGTTTCGTCTATGGTGCAAACTTAAAGCCCTCCGGCACCGGTTATATGAATGGACTAAGCTTGGTAAGAGTAACTCCGAACAGAAAATTCGGAGCCTCCAAGCTCTCTAGTGTCTTCGACTTCTTTGACCATCTTCGACGTACTAGGCCTTCAGGAAGTTCCAGTATGCTCTCTTCTTTCAGTACAAAAATCATATGACGGCATGGTATTCCCATATAATCGTAGTGATTACAACTACACTCCATTGCAAAGGGTTCAACTGTGTACGTGACTTGAAAAACCTTATCCATGCCAGACACCTTGACCTTGTACACACGCTCAATTTCCGATCGCTCTGACTCCACCCTTATGCAACATGCCAACTTTTCAACCTCGTCTCTGAATAAGAAGAATGCGTTCTTTGTGAAAACCGCCGCTCCACTCTTCTGAAGTGAGACTAAGACATTGCTTGTGATGGTTCGTTCTCGATGAATGGATTCAAAATCAGCATGACGCTCATTCTCCCTCATATCCCTAGTCCAACGATCAAAGTGAGTAAAGAACTCAAGGAGATTTTTATCCTTCTCAATATAATTGGCAAGTTGAGAGTTCAGTCCTCCACATCTTGATGTTGTACTCAAGCCTGCGAAGAACTTCGAACGCAAATATGTAAACCCCCATTCATGTCTTTGCTCAAATAAGTTGGAGACCCAATTGTTGTACTGAAGGGAGCATTCCTCAACCACTGATTTCCACTTTTCTTCGAATTCTGAAGGTTCCCAATCAGCTGACACAAAATGCTTCCATCGGGGCAAAAAAGTAGGATGATTCTTCACATTTATGGTTATAGTCTTGTCTATATGTCAGGGACATAGACGATGTGTTGTATCAGGAAATACTTTATGAATAGCATTACGCATTGCTTTATACCCATCTGTAATAACAGTCTTGGGATCTACACCGCCTAGCCTTCTCTTCAAAGCTCCCAACACCCAAAAATAATTATCCTCTTTCTCGTTAGCCAAGAAAGCACATGCAAATACGCAAGTTTGCGAATGGTTGTTGACACCTAAAAAAGTACAAAATAAGTTAGATTATGCAAACTGCTAGGGTTATTTTAGCATGCTCGGGATAATTCTATGTGTGAAGGAAAAGCACCTGAAAAAATCACGAGAGACATCTGGTAAATGTTCCTTTTGTAAGTAGCATCGAATGACAGTAATTCTCCAAAGCATGCATAATCAGCAACATAAACACTATCGACCCACAAGATGTTAATAAGTCGGTCGTCGTCATCCTTCTTTAGTTCAATAATGAAATGATCGTCTGCGCTGCATTTAGCTTGCAGGTAGGCTAGGGCTGTTGCGGCATCACCTTCACTGATTTGTTCTTTCCTCTCTTTGTCCGCATAATTATATGCATCCTTCCTCGTGTACCCCAAATTGTCGTAGCCTCCTCCTTCTGGTACGGCCATATTCACAATTTGAGAAGTTTTCATACCTGCAGCTCTTCTAAAATTTATCAATGCTTTGACTGCATCACTCATACGACGTTTCCCTTTCATGTAGTGTCTATATTCTCTGGGGATCGTTTCATGTGTGTGTACATCATCAAACTGATGCACATACCACCAGTGGCGGAGCCAGAAAATTGATCAAGGGGGGTTTTATCTTCATACAACAAAAAATTAACTACGTAATAGAAAAGTCAACTTTTAAACAAAAGAAAAAGTTAAGAATATAATACTCAAGATTAATACAATTACATAATTATAATTCGATGAACACCACTTACAATGAGATTTCATATTCTGAAACACTCTAGAACTCATTCCTTGTCCAAACTAGCACACAAACCTTTACGTATATGTGACACATTGTTCATTCGTTTTTTTCTAAAGATAATTTTTTATATATTTCTTGAATATAATAGTTTCTTCATACTTCTTGTGGAAATAGGTAAAATAAATGTCAATTTGAGAAGCAAACAAACAAATATATAAAAAAATTGCTTATTTATTTCCACCAATTTTTTCGCACTCATCACCCACTTGTAACTTTTTGAACCTGTCATCTTAAAATTTAACTGATGGCGAAGAAAATTCATGAGATTTGGAGGTAACAATTGTGGGGAATTTTTTACGGGAAGGACATAATAATTGGGTTTGATCAAAATAATGAGTGGATAAATCAAATTGCGGTGTTTATGGCCTAAAGCTCTACGTTTGGGGAAAGTACAAAACTTGGGTCAAGCTAATTACGAGAAAGTAGGGGTGGAAAACGGGAAAGAGTCGGTAGCTAGCTAGTCGAGGCGTCGACGGCATCGTATTAACCACTCGTAGCTCCTGCCAACGTGTCACGATTTTGGCGTCACCTTCGGATTCATTCATTCACTCATTCCTCGCCTTCCCACTTCCCCTCACTCCCCTTTCTCCCGCCCGCCCGCCCGCTATCTCTCCGTCGCCGGCCATATCCTCCAACGAACTTAACCTCTACGCCACCGCCGCCGATGATGCTTCTCACCTCCCCACCTCTCCACACTCACATCTCCCCTTCCAGCCTCAACTCCACAACCTCCAGCACAAACACCTCCGCCGCACTCGCCGGTAACCTCCTCTTATGTTCCGCTGCGAACTCTCACAAACTTCCCACTGCCGCCGGCACCGCCGCGTCCTCCCTCCGAACAACAACACTCTCCTCCTCTCCTTTCTCCTCCACTTCCACTTCCTCGCCGGCAAGCTACCTCCATCACGTGACGCAATCGCCTTCTCCCGATGATCGCCGAGAACCGGAGGAGGAGGCGGAGATGCTTCCGTCCGCCTCCGCAATCGTCTCGGCCATTCGGCGGGGCTCCACTTCGGCGGTGGAGTTCGAGCAGCGGATTGAGAAGGACCAGAAGAGCAAATCGCTACTCCCGAGCGCTGATTTTCACAGGCTCTGTGTCGAACAGCTGGATCTCTTTCGGAGAATCGTTCATCCAGAATCCGTGCTCTCGGTAAAATTGCTACTCGGATCCTTGATCAATTCATTGATTCGTTTTGCCTTTATCAATCGATTCCAAAATTTCTGGTTTCCTGCAGGTGTATGTGAGACCAGCTGGGAGCTACGTGATGGACCAATTGGAGTTGCGGCGGGTAGCTTCTCTTCCAAGAACAGATTCTGACGACGAGATTGTTGTGTTGATTGGAAATTTCCGCGTTGCAACTGGATTGCGAGCTGCTGAAGCTGCACTCACTCGCAGGCAGGTCTGTGTAACTGTAACCCTATTCTTGTAATTGAAATTTGTTGCTTCTGAGTGAGTGATGAACCCTATCCTGTTTTCCGTCGTTTGTAGATAGAATGCGTAGCTGAACCCAGCGCCGTGGTGTTTCCAATGGTGAAACATCCCTTTGTTGTTGGGTTCTTGGTGGCTGAGCTGCCAAAAATGGAGATGGGAGGGACATCTGGTGTGCAAGGTGAAGGGGGAGACTTGCTGCATTTGCCCTCTCTGGAGAAAGCTTATCAAGCTTCTTCAGTAGTAGATGAACCATGGTCTAGGAGTGATGATGACAATGACAATGAGCTGCATTCTAGCATTCACAGGTTTCTTCCTGCTGACCAGAGATTGAATGCGATCAATATCTCTCGCTCTCTGGCTATGGCCTATGTTATGGATCAGGTAGTTCACAGAAAGATTTCAGTCATCCGTTTTTGTTGCATTTAGGACTAAAATGGTTGAACTTTTGTCTTGCTCTCTTTTTCTCTTGCTGCAATATAAAGTAAAAGAAAGTAGGGAATTTCAACTGGTTGACTTAGTTTGTTCTTTTGCACATAGTTTGACCTTTCAAGGCTAATGAGCTTGTTTTTCCTGTGAGCAGAAAGCAATGCTGCTACAGCACTCCTCATGGCAAAATAATGTTAGAATGAGTAGCCTGGTTGAGCAGGTATGATGTTTTTCATTCAGGATTTGTGCTATCAATCTAGAACATTGCTAACAGTTGAGATCTCTTTTTTTTTTTAGATTCGTGGATCACTTTCTAGCATTCGAACATTAAGTAAAATGTTGACTGTTCATGTAAAGAAAACTGAGGTATGTATTTTTTTTTCTTAAACTGGGATGTATTTCTTCAATTTGTTCTTCCTCTTATGATCTCAACTCTGCAAAATGCAACATTTATCTTATTCTGCAGATTCCTTATGACATAGTAGAAGACATACTTGCACAGGGTGATAACATGAGAGATACTCTTCAAGAACTCCAGGATGCCGTTCACATGACAAAGGCAAGCATTGCCTCTGTCTTTTTCTCTCTCTGTGTACGCATCAAGATAGTTTAACCTTTTTTCCTGACAAGTTTTCATGTTAATGACTTTATGTAGGCCAATATAATGAGGTATAACGAAGAATCCTTAAAAAGGATCAGCACTTCAACAAATACAAGTCCCGAACGAGCAAGTTCTCAACTACCACAGAACCTACTAAGAGATAAAGGCAGCAAGTTGCAAAATTCAGGTGATCCTCTTAAGTTTAGTGCCAATGACGTGGAGATGCCCATGCCACCGCTCTGTCTTGCACCTTTAGACACAGTTGGGATAAGGTAATTGACTAATTAAATAATAAGACTTGTAATTTGTGTGTTTCAAGGCTCCCTTAAACGGAATTTTTGTGCTGCTTATGCTTGCAATTGTGTCAGGAAGACCATGCATTGTATCCGAGGTACTCTCCGACATGGTTGAAGCAGTGAAACCTCTAGCCCATATACAGCAACGCATTGTGGAATTGGCGGATCTCTCCACCTCACTGCAAGTTGCAGTGGAAGAACCAGCTTTGCGGCAGGCTCTTAGCAACTTAATCGAAGGAGCTCTATTACGCAGTCAAGCTGGGGGCAGGGTGGAAATCGTATCAACTGGGGCACCTGGAGGCGGGGTTCTTGTGGTGATTGATGATGACGGCCCAGATATGCACTATATGGTTAGCTACCTACAACTGTGTGTTGTCTATTTGCTCGTTTAACCTTGGAGACTTGATAGCTACCCATCAAAAGAGATACTCTATCCAAAATACAATACTATCTTCTTCCATCCTGTTTGCCTAATATAACCCAAGGTACACAGTAACACAGACTTATATTTTTCATATGCAATCTTTTGTGTTTATGCAGACCCAGATGCATTCTCTGACACCTTTTGGGGCAGAGTTGTTCTCGGATGACATGGTTGAAGACAACATGACATGGAACTTCATCGCCGGCCTGAGTGTTGCACGAGAGATCCTGGAGGTTTATGGCTGTGTGGTGCGTGTGATCGCACCTAGATCCACAGATGCAACCCTGGGCAGTGGAGGAACCAGGGTAGAACTCTGGCTCCCTTCTCTTTCAGAGAATCCGAACTGAAAATGTGTCATACGCCAACCACTTCACTAGTCCATAAAACGTTCTCTAAGAGGGGAGGTATTCTGCTCTTTAGTGTACATATTATTCCTGCACAAGTTCATGTATCTCATTCCACTGACCAAGAACACAACCAAAGGGAAGGGAACCGAACCGAACAAAACCATTGGGGAAACCATTCCTGGCGTTGCAAGCCAAATTGAGGCATTCTCACTAGTTCTCCTTCAATCTTCATGTATGTGTATATACCAGAACCCAATGTTCAAATTCTGTGTAAAGAGGGAACAAGTGTCTCTTTGATTTGGAGACTGATGACATTATCATGTAGAGTTGGTGATGAGTGGATAACCAATGTAAAAGATTTACGACATTGAAAGATCACCAACAGGCTTTGCTTATATTGGTTGAGGTGTAACTGTGTAATGCACTGCAACCAGAGCAGACCATAGACCAAGAGGAAGCTCGCATATGAAGCACTATTTGCTCACATTTACTTTTCCACAATCGTCTTGCTGAGAATTTTGATTCTCCTTAGATAGATGTGAAAGGAAACATATTGCAGAAGGGAAAATAGGAAGCTGGAAGTGGTGGAATATAGTGGTGTTAGTAAATAATATAAGATTTTTTTATTAAATTTTTAGAATAATTTGAGTTGTTTGGATCGATAGGTGTTTGACATGATATTAGAGTCTTTAATGACTTATGGAGACTTACTTTTTATCATTTTAACACCCTAGTTTGACTTGAAGTTTGGTTACAGTGACAATTTGGACTGAATTTTTCAATAAGAGAGTTATGGCCAACTATTCAAATTAACGGACAGATTTGGCTCGAAATTTTCTTTGACGGTTTCTTCCGTTAGTAACTCGGTAAAAAATGTTGATGTGGTGCCTTGTCATTATATAATAAAATATTAATTTTTGTAAATCAATTGAAATAAAAAAAATTAACAAATCGAAAGAATTCCTCTTTATCCCAAAATCCCCAAATTCAAACCCTAATCTAAATCGACATCATCGTCAAATGGCGTCTCCCACCCGATCTCTTCCCTACAAAAATGTTATCGCCAAATGGTTCGAGGTCAGGGAGGAGGAGATCAGAGGAGACCCGGCGTTGGTCTCTGGATCCACCACGGCGGCACGGTGGAATGGCGGTTGTTTCTTCCTCCAACAAGGGTCGTCGTCGGGAGAGAAAAAAGGGGCAGAATAGGTCAACTGACGTCGCAGACTGTGGGACCAAAACGGAGGCAAGGTCGGGGCCTGAGGGAGAGAGGAAGCCGTCTCTGGCAGCAATCACATAACCGACGGCGTCGTTCGGAGATTGTGGATTGGTGGTGGCGGAGGTGGAAGTGGTGGACGAGGAGTCATTGGGGTTGCAGCTGCTGGAGAATGATTTGGAGCGGTGGAGCTAGAGGGCGAGGCGCTCGCAGAGGTATGCGGCGCAGAACCCGGTGACGCCATTTGTGGGATGGCGGCGGTAGGTTAAGTGATGGCGGCGCTGTGGCGGAGCAGGACTCATGGTTGCAGCGCTTGGATTTGGGGAAGATGATAGCAGTGCGACAATGAAGGGTTTGGGCCTTTGAGGGTTTGGGATAATAATAGGGATTCTTTTAATTTGTTAAATTTTTTTAATTCCAATTGAATTAAAAAAACTAAAATAATATTATATAATAACGTGACACCTATGCATAAGCCACATCAGCATTTTTTCTGAGTCACTAACGGAATAAGTGTTTGACCGTCAATGTTAACAGTAAAAAAAAATTTTGGGTCAAATCTGTCCATTAATTTGAAAAGTTGGCCATAACTATCTTATTGAAAAATTCGGGCCAAAATTGTCACTATGGCCAAACTTCGGACCAAACTAGAATATTAAGCCTTAATTTTATTTATTAGCAGAATGTTAATTATGGTTAGTAGTAGTCAAGTAGTATTAGGTCTATTAATTCAGGTTTTTCGTATCTTTTCCGATACCTGTATGTTGTTACTCCCTCCTTTATAATCATCAAAGTAAATAGTAGGAAGAATTTATCCCCAATCCTAATATATTGTCCGCTTCCTCTCAATTTTGTCACTTCTAGTTCTCTCCCAAATATTGTAAAAAAAAAAAAAAAAATAGTTCTCTCCCAAAGGCCGCCAAACATTCATCTCTTCTATCCCCAATTCCGTCCTCTAAATTGATATTTCTTGATTCTTATTCTTTCCCAATCCCTAATTTTATTCCTCAATCTCTAGAACTCCTCAATTCCATCTTGTGATCGTTATCTAGTATCATAGATCAGAATGATAGAAACTAACAAATTGGGGGAAGATTACGTTTGGAGAGGAGAACTAGACAGGATCAGGGACAACATTTAGAGTTTTGAAGTGAAATGATAGAAACCAAAAAATTAAGGGAAGATTTAGGGTTTGGAGTGGAGAATCAAAGGGGATAAGGACATAATTTAGTTAGAGTAAGGATTTGGGGGAATGGGGAGGAAGAGGCCGACGATCTAGATAGAGAGACGAAGATTATTAGGATTTTGAGGAGAGACAATTAGGTTTAACTTCTTTTATTTTCTTATTTTCAAAATTACATAATTATTATAATAAAGACCCCCAAAACCCTAAGAATGGGGTAGTATCGTTTCTTTGGTAAGGTTAGGGCGTTAAATTTTTAAAAAGTTAGGGCGTTAAATAGGATTTGAGAAATAAAATGACGAAGAACAAACAAGACAAAATAAATTGAGAAATTCAAACTACGTCGAATGTGGGTGCAAGGAATTAGGATTCAAAAAGATGATTAAGTTGGGGAGCTTCTCTTGGAACTGTGAAGGGGCGTCCCTCCAAGACGAGAGAGGGATCGTGTAATTGGTTAGGGAGACTGGAAATTGGTTAGGGCGGCAGTGGGTCTACCCAATTGGGTTTGCAGTCTTAATCCATTTAATTTAATCGGGGAAGTTAGTTGGACTAGGATGAAAACAATCTTAACGCGTAAGGAGACTTTTTGTAATTTGTTTAGTTATTTAGTGGCGCAGTTAGGTTCAACAAACGTGAGCCGTGGAGATTGAGAATGAATGGTTAAGATCGGCCAAGGTACCTGTACCCCAAATTTTACCATGGGCACCGTAGAAGTCACCATATATATATATATGAGTCACACTCGTATGCGTCACACACATACTATGCGACAGGATTTCTACACCGTAGATCTAATCTAACGGTGTTTATTAATTTGAATTAAATTATTTAATTTTTACAATTTTTAAATGATTAGTTGGTCCTATTACTTTTTTATGCGTACCCTTTAACCCCTAAACAAACTTTTCAACATATTTTCGAATTATAGTACCAAATTTTATTCTAATCATGTCTCCAATCCATTAAGTTATATTTACTAACAATTTTAGTTTGGTGATTTATTCCTTTTCCCACTCATGTCAACGCTCAAACCCCCTTTCCAATTGCTGTCTGTAGTGGCTGACGAACCCTCTCCTCTCATCCTGGCTATCGATTGAAGCAATTGGATTTTGCCCTTCCCATCGATGTTTAATCCCTCTATGGATTAAGAGAGTGATCTGTTCGAGGCATGATGGATTGAATCTTGTGCTCGAGAGGCGGATGAGGAAGGATCGGAGAAGTGAAGAGTGCAGACTCGAGAGGTGGGCCGAAGTGCGGATCGCCGATAGCGGTGGGTAGGTACCCTGCCGTTGATAGGCAACGGAAAGTGCGAATACCAACCGCAGCAGCCAGAGTGGATGAACGAGACTGATGGCATAAACTTTGATAGGTATGAATAATGGGCCTTACTTGAAATTGCAGAAGTAGAAGTTGTACTAGGTCAAATTTGTGTTTGAAATTTGTCTTTGGATGTTTATGGGATGTCTGATTTCATTGGTAGCAATAACACATTAAGATTCACTGTCTCCCTTTCCCCATGTGCAGATTGCAGAAGTTTCTGAACCCTTTTTTATTGAGTGGGTGATTTCTCAGCATGATCACATTTTGGGATGGACTGGTCGTTCTTTTGACCTTGAGGTTAGTCCGTAATTGCGGTGGATGATTTCTAGTGCAAGCCTCAATCAGATTAACCTTGATCACTTAAAGATGTACTATGCAATTGTTAAACGCACTGAATTAAATATGAACAACCACGGTAGGGTAATTTGCGAAACATGTGAACTTGAAAATAGTTGCTAGGGTATGCAAGACTGGGAACCTTTGTGTTTCCTGTTGTTTGTGCAGGACTGGGAACCTTTGTCCCTGCAGAAGAGGCAAGCGACATCAATAGTTGAGTCATTTAGGTATTACACATCTGCAGGCGCTGCTGTCTATAATTTTTCACAGCCTGGATTCCTCTCTGCGGAAACTGTTGAGTCAGTTATGCATTGTGCTACACCTGATAGAACAGTCAATTTGTTTTAGTATGCTACTTGACCATTAACTGGACAGGAAAAGGAGTTGAACTCTGCCAATGTTGATTAGACTACTTTCCCTTTGTATCTTACATAGTTTAAGTCATAGTTGTTTTGCTCTCGTGTTGCATTGGCAGTTCCGAGGAATAATCTATATCCCGCCCATTCCTCCGTTAACTCGCTATACAGAATCTGTGATAATTCGTCGTCTTTCGAGGCTCAGAGCATGGTTGACTTTTGTGAAAGATTGGTGTTTGAATGACTTTTTAACAACGGGAACCGTTGATGTGAAGAACTCACTCTTTGGAGAATGCTTGATATCTCTATAATGAACCATTATTGAAAGAACTGCCTTCTGCTTCTCAAGATTTAAAGAGATATTAGCATACATCATTCATCTAATAAAACCTTTTCTTTACAATTTCTAATTAACCACTTACACAACTCTAAATTCTAATAAAACCTTTTCTTTACAATTTCTAATTAACCACTTACACAACTCTAAATAATGTGATGGCTTAAGTTGTTGCTAGCTTTCAATCAAGTTTTTATTATTATAAATCTTGTATGTATTCTCTCATTCTGCCTTCTTTTTGTAGAACTGACCTCCCTGGTGTCTTTCTTTTCGAATGTCACTTGGCAGGTGCTAGAGTAATATTTTGGGATCTCAGAGAGAGATTCTTGTTTAGTTTTTACAAATTGGTGATGTTGAATCTTCTCGCTTGGGAAATTTCCTTCCTCAAGAAGATAATGTAAGACTGTCAACTTCAGTGGAGCCTCCTCTTTGTTTGTCTTGCTTGCTTCTCTTAGCTGAACTTGCATATAATTTTCAGGTTCTTGATGAGATATACGGATTGATCGATGATAAATTCAGAGACTCGGTGTTGTTAAGCGTTTGCCGAGCATCGTTGGTAGGTCTTCAAATTCTCTTTTGTACTTTGAATTCGCAAACCTTCCATTATAGCTTGTATATAATTTGTACACATTATCTTGCTACAGTAGGGATATGTTTGGGTGTTGCTTAACTGAGGCCCCTCTCGTGCATTCTCTGATTCAGATGTTGTTATGATGGAAGAAGACTTCGATATCTTGAAGGTCTATCATTTCCTCTCTCTCTCTCTCTCTCTCTTTCTCTCTCTCTCTCTCTCTCTCTCTCTCCAATGCATATGTGATATGTGTAAATACGTCTGTGTTCGGTTCATAAATAGTGATGGCCGGAAATTTTTTTGGTCAAGAAAGAAACAGTACGAGGTTGGCTACTGATAAATTCATTCTCATTCTTCAGGTGTTCTTTATAGCTAGTGGAGATGGCCTCCCTCGTTCGGTGGTGGAGCCAAAAGCAATAGAGGAATATGCTTGTAAATAGGCTTGTCATTGGTGGGGATTTAATCTGTACTCCTTGTTAATAGGCTTGCTTTCCTTAGTTGGATCAGTTTAGGTGTCAATAGAGGAATTCTTTTTTTGGACGTAATGGTATTAATAAATTAGGTTTGTTTGGCGGTCTATATAAAGGGGCGCCAAGCCTAGAGTTTACCTTGTAAAAAATAACTCCTGCCGTTCTCCCTGGTGACTTTAGCAAAAGTAAGGCTTTTCTTCTGTGTTGGCGGGGAGATAAACTCATTGCAATGGAGAAATCTCGGTACAGTGCAGCAACTAAAATAGCTCTTTCTTTTGGTCGTTTGTGCTGTTTCTTTCTTACAACCTTTTTCCTTTCATGTATGCGTTGTCTTTATTCTCTCCTTAATCCGCTTTGATTTTTGTTTGTTTATGACTTGATGCTCCTTTAATTCCATACAATTATGTAAGTCCTTAGTTATTTATTGTTTTACGCGGGCAAAATTTGTTGTTTAGCATGTCGAACCATGATACTAAGGAAGTTGTTGGATCCATATCGACTACCTTTCGAGCCATGGAGACGACGTTCACTGAGTTGTACGATAAGATTAAATCTTTGACTGCAATGATAATGAAAACTGATATTGAATTTCAAGTGCTAAAGAGGATGTCGAAACGCATTCTTGATCAAGCATCTGGAAGTTCACCTCCCACTGATGTTCTTGTCACGCCTACCATAAAAAGAGTTTATTATATTGATTCAAACCCAGACTCAGATTGCGATGGCGATGGTTCACACAAGAGGCAAAAATATGCGGTCATGGAAGATTTAAATGAGTCGGTGAAGGTATATAGAATTTATTTAAACAATTTGCACTTGTGTCATTTTAAAGTGTTTATGATGTACCTATGTATTGTAATTTTTGTTAAATTCAAATCGTAGATGGAATTTCCGGTGACTGCATCTGGAAGTTCAGCTCCCACTGTTTTTCTTGTCACACCTAGCGTAAATGGACTTATTTATATAGATTCCGACTCAGACGCAGATGGCGATGATTCACACAAGAGGCCAAAAAATGCGGCTGTGGAATATATAAATGTGTCGGAGAAGGTATATAGAATTTATTTAAAGAAATTACACCTGTTTGATTTTAAAATGTTTATGATGTACCTATGTATTGTAAGTTTTGGTAAATTCAAATCGTAGGTGGAATTTCCGGTGACTGCAATAATGGCGTTAGATAATGATGAGGATCGTTCCATTGCTTGTTTCATCTTTGGTGATGGTCTACAAGATGATAAATGTCTTGTTGAGAATTTTGGCCATAGTTTAAGTCGTCCAGAACTGAAGGACTTGCTGCCAGAAACGTGGCTTCATGGTTATGCAAGTATTTTGTATTCTGTTTTGGCAAGGCATACTTGACACATATTAGCTATACTAATCTTGGGTTTTGCTTATTTTAGATTTTAACTGCTGTAGCTTGTCAATTAGCTGTTGATGTTAGGGCTTGGGGGAAAAAGGGACCTTGGTACCTTCCATCCAATTTTGAGGTAAGCAACAATTATCGAAAGCTCTTTATCGTAAGTTTACTTTTTTCTTTCTCCCAAAGTTGAATAGTGAATATGAACTGCTACCCAGGATTTGGTTGTGAAAATGGGTTGGACTCCAAAAAAAGCCGTGGAAAATTATAAGAACCTATATCTTTGCGGCACCAAGGTATGGTGTAATAATATTAGTAATTTTTCCAGGGTACTATATTCTCTTAATGTTTTGCCCTTTACTGTATAGTCCATTCATTCTTTCGTCATCATTTACTTGTTTATTTATTTCAGATATATTTGCCAATGAATGATGAGAACCGCCATTGGTTTCTTATTGTGGTTTTCATGGACCGAAAGGTAGCGCATGTAGTGGACTCTTTGCCTATTGATTTGGGTTTGCTGGAAAATCATAGGAAAAGGTTGCAAGGAATGGTGGGTGATCAAACTATTTCCTTCGTGTAAATTTAGTAAGTCAATTTTCTTTTTTAAAATTTTTGTACTGTAATAGTTACGTGGTTAAGTTTGTTGTTACAGTTGAAATTCTTTTACAAGATGCTTCAAGAATTTCCAGACAAGCCATCAACCTATGAAGTGCCCAAAGTGCATAAGTTCCAAATCATAAGTCCTCCATACGTTTCTAAGCAAATTGATGAGTTAGTATTTCTTTGACTATTTTGATTATTTCACTTCGATTCAGAATCTTATTTTCAATAATAAATGCTATTTTTCCACGTAGCTATGAGTGCGGGTTTTACGTCTGTCAGTGGATGTTGCACGGAGAGGCTAATAATAATTCGTATACGGTGGTATAATACAATCCTTTCCTTCTAAATATTATTCCATCCACGTGTGATTCTACACTATCAAATCGAAATCAACATGTTAAGAGTAATGTTCTAAATTTGCTGCAGGTTTGTAGTAATAGAGGTCGACTATCCTTGGCCATAAGTTTAGTCAAAGATCTCTCAAATACAAGGCGCTCTCAAATTATTGATGAAGCAAGAGCCATTTATGAAAGACATTTCAAGGGGAAAATCAGCTCAAAATGCCAAAAGAGTTTATTTGATTCATTTTAGAAAAGTAGTTGTTTTTGTTTTATTGGTAGTCGGTCGGTTTTATACTTTTATTGGTAGTCGGTCGGTTTTACTATCACTTTGATCCCAACTAAATTCATTTTAGATTGGTTTTGGTGTTCACCTTTATTTTTTCTTAAATCCGAATGTTGGTTCACGTTTTTGTGGCTTGTTCCTGATGCTTGTTCAGCTAAGATAAGGCTTAAAGAAGGCGCCTAGGCTTGAGCCTTATGCCCCGTTCACTTGCCATTTCATTTTATGTTTTTTGTTGTCACAACAAAAAATAAGAAATATGAGTAAAAAAACGTGTTCACTTGTTGTTCGGTTTTCATTTGAAAAATCTATTAGCAAACGAACTGTGATAGCTCTGCAAAATAACAAAATGTAGTTTCCTGGAAATTTGGTCGCGCGTTTCTCCCCCATTTTCAGCGGAAAATTGCTACTGTAGTTAAATGAGGTTCTGGGTTCAAATCACATCACCCAATTTTTTTTTCCTTTACTTCCTTCTCGACCATCATCTGGAACTTTCTTCCCTCTTAAGTCCACACCGGATAAAGTCATAAAACCTGAACCAGTTTCCGTCGCAGTTTCCGATTGCCGACTCGCTTCGTCCCCCTCAATTCCACGTCAAGAAACTATTGACCTTTCTCCTGGTCAGTGGGGTTTTTTGTTATCTTTATTTCGGCCCCAAAAAACGCGCCAATTCTTGGCTTTGGCCTTTGGATATCTCATATCTTGCCACCGGAGGACGCCGGAGATGTATGCGTTCATCGGAGCAAACCTAAACATGTTGGATCCAACAAATAGCTTCAATAACAAAATTTTAACCCAATAACAAGTGTATTGTTTTGGTTCTCAATGAACATGAAAAGGGAAAGAGACAAGCAGACAATTCAAATAATTCAAGGGTATTGTTTTGGTTCTCAACGAAAATGAAAAGGGAAACAAAACTAGAGTACTGGCAGGAGAACTAATTAACCAAATATCCAGAATATACTACTGCATGAGAAATGAACCACCATCTCCCTATGAATCTTCTAGTTTTGGATTACGCTCTTTTGGCTTTCTTCCTTGTACCTACGAGTCTGGGCAACAAATCTCGATGCATTACTATTTGCTTCCTCGATGATGACATGTCTTATGTAATTTGTAGGGTGTTGGACCAGATACAAAGCTAGTTGCATTCTCCTTATATCTCCGCATGGCTGCAACAGTTTGACAATGACAATGAGGCTTAGTAGCTGTTTCGAAAGGTTGTTTTCCTTCAAGGCCAAGTAGGAGAAATCTTGCTTACCCATATATTATAAGAAGCATCCCAAGATGCACCCATCATCCATGAGCACACCCAAACGCCACTATCAGACCTACATAAAATAAGATGCAGCATATGAGTGGTGAGTATCTAAGTATGTTTCTAATTTATTCACAACGAACAATTCTTACTCGTGACGTTGTTTGGGAATTGAAGCAATTGTCAAAGAAAATTGTTCCAGCATAGGTGGATCAAGTGTTGGTTCCACTTGCCGATAAAGATCCTCAAACAAGCCATCAAGAGATTCGATCTACATAAGCAGTAATCACTTTATTCGGAATAGATGAAAACACAAATCAATTTAGAGATATAACTGTATTCGGATCAGGAGGTCAAACCATACCATAGTTACTACTGCGTTTCTACGAGATCTTTGGCGCTTTTTAGAAGGATACGAATCCAATAGATGGACTTGTTTGTCGTCCAGCATAATGACTGCTAAATACCAGTGAACTGCATCACCGTCCATTGCATCTTTCATGGGCAGACACACCTAATAACGACGAAAAAGACCAAACTCAGCTGAGCATTGTAAAATACAATTTATAGAAATATCAAAAGCTTGATGGAACATCTAATTTATTCACATATCCAATTCAAACAATAGCTAGAAACAGTAATTGAAGAATATTTCAATGAAACAAGAAAGGAATTGTTAAGAAGAAACCTTTCTGCACGTGTGAGCTCTTGCCAAGAACTTTGCACCGTAACACTCTAGAGCTTTTTTGATGTCATGCCATAGTTAATTACCATTTCCTGATCATGGTTCATTTAAAATAGAAGATAACACATTTAATAGGAGAAACAAAATATTGCACCTAAAATAAATATACAAAGTAAATGGGACTATACTTGTAGTTCAGCAGACAGATAACAGACTACTCTTCCATCTCCAACATCCCTCCAAACTTCCCCCAGGCTCAATTGGCAAGCCATGGCTGTAATTACATCATCATCGACATTAGACTTAGGGCAGAGGGGCCACAACACCTTTCGTGTATAGGATTGCATCATGGTTTCAACCAGGACTTCCTTTTGTGGAAGATCCTTCGCAAATATGTAGTGGGCAAGGTTCACTTCCTCTCTAGTGTACTTGAGATGTGTTGGAAGTGTAAACTTTGTTTCATCCTACAATAGAAGACGAAACATAAGGATAAAAACCATTGATTTTGTTCTAAGCGGGGAAAATTGGTGGGCTAGATTATCATACCTTCTTGGCGAATTGTAAGTAAGAAAATCTGGTACGGGCTTTCCAAACTAAGTCATTCCAATCTGCCTGCAAATCACCATCAATCTGGATCACACCATCTTCAGTTCTACATTTCTTTCCTCGAGATTCATCCTTCTCCAGCAAAGAATTCATCGTAATAAAAACACAATGCCTTATTTAGTTTGGAAGAATAATCTGCCAACGATGGAGAAAACGGGGAAAAAGAATGCAAATTGATGAACCATTAATTTGGAAGAACTTCTGGTCTTGCGTTTTGTCATCATCCTGCCGTCCTTATCGTTCTGCATATTGCTCCTGGTTTCTGCCCCCTGACCGAGCTCCTGTACTGCTGTCCTGAATGAGCTCCTGGTGAATGCAGAAAAGGAGTTAGCATTCTAAACTAGGGCCAACGGGTGAGTGTTTTTCTCTATAAGGACTTTATCTTCCTCATTAACCTCCACATGGAAAAGGAAAATAATATTGTATACGGGTAATAATTAACATGGAAACAATCCGCATCACCTATTTGGAAGTTGAATCTACCATATGTAACACGCAAGCATTCTTTAGTATTTTTTTCCAGTAATTCAAGCATTCTTTATTAGTTACATTCTTTATCCAACTAGCAACCATAACGGGAAACAATATAATAAAAATTTAAAGTACTAAAATATAAAAAAAACTATACACCATGATGGGAAAAAATAGAAAAAACTAATAACACGTGAAAAACGGATTAGGTTAATAACAACAGCAAAAAGACCTCTGCTTTGCGCCCGATTTAGCCCCTCCCCACAAACAGCAAAAAGACGGCACACCAATGGAGGAAGAGGGAGATAATATCAACAACAATGAAGACAGCGATGTTGAAATCATACCAGAAACAATGACCTCTGACAACAATGGTCCTACTGTACAGGAGGATGACACAAACGTTATTCAAAATTCTCCTTTTATCGGTCAGGAATTCAATGATTTTGAGGATGCATATGCGTTCTACAACAACTATGCTAAGAATTGGGGGTTTTCTGTCCGTCGCTCAAGGAAGGTTAAAAACGTCAAGGGAGAGGTAACAAGTGCAGCCTTCGTGTGTTCCTGTCAGGGAGTTCGAGAAGCACATAAAGGTCCACAAAAGAGGGAGTCGCTAGGGATGGCAATGGGTCGGGTCGGGGGCGGATAGTGCATATCCGTTACCCTACCCAATGTAGTTCGGGTTTTACCCATACCCGTACCCATACGAGAAACGGGTAGAAAATCAAAACCATGCCCATACCCATTCGGGTTTCGGGTATCCACGGTTATCCATGGGTAATAATTTTTCCTTATAATTCCAACCAATGTGTTAACATTCACACGTATACTCACATGACGTAAGAGGAAAAGTACGACAATAATTCACTAGAATGACGAAAATTAATTAAAACAACATAATTTCATGAAAAATATTATATTTATATGCTAAATATAAAATATTCTATAGAAAAATAATGATTATTTCTAGACAAAATACATATGCATGTGTATAATCGGGCGGGTTCGGGTTGGATAGTGAGATAACCATGCCCACCCATTACCCGCAACATTCGGGTTCGGGTTTTACCCGTACCCACGAAAAATGCTTCGGGTTCGGGTTTTACCCTACCCGATTAGGTCGGATTCGGGTGGATATCCACGCTTACGGATATTTTTGCCATCCCTAGGAGTCGCCTATGGAGATCAGATTTCAGTGCATGGCTATGTTTCGTGTGAGCTTGAACAAGACAAACAATAAGTGGGTTGCTGATATATTTAACTCACAACACACTCATGACCCAGTTAGGCAGAATCAGATACATTACTTGAGGTCGCATCGAGGATTAACAGAAGCAGACAAGGCAGACCTCCTATTTAAAAAGGATGCCGGAATGAAACCTTCTCAGGTCATTAAGCTTGCTGTGTATTGTGCTGGAGGGCATGACAAACTTGGGTATACAGTTAAAGATGGGTTAAATTTCAGCACCAAAGACCGCGCTGAGAGAATCAGCGAGGGTGATGCAGCAACTGCACTGGCCTATCTAGAATCAAAGAAAAGCACAGACCCACACTTCCTCCTCCGATACACAACTGATGAGGAAAAAAGGCTCCATTTTTTATTTTGGGCTGACAGCATTTGCAGAGCCGACATTTCGTGTTTTGGAGAGTTGCTCGCATTTGACACAACGTACCAAAAAACATTTACAATATGCCACTGGTCATTTTTACAGGTACGCCATCCTAGTATGCCCTCTAAGTATTATCCTTTGCTTTGTTGTTTGAAGACACATAATGGCATCTAGAAAACAACAAGTTTCTGATTATATGAACTCTACCATTGTTTACATATTTCTCACAGTTTTAGCTTTTCTTTTGCTGGTTCAAAAGATTCTGATTTTTCCGAGTTTCTGTTTGACATTGTAGGGATCAACCATCACTTCAAAACTTGCTTATTCGGGAGTGCACTGTTGCCCAATGAGACTGTCAAAACCTATATTTGGGCTTTGAAGATAGTGAAGGAAATGTTGGGGGACATTCCGCTACGTACAGTTGTCACGGATGGGGATAAAGCAATGAGGAAAGCTATTGCTAATGTGTTTCCAAATGCAACCCATAGGCTATGTGCATGACATTTGTCCAAGAATATCACTGGCAGGGTGAAGAATCGACCCGACTTTGAACCCCGATGGAAGAAGTTAGTAACTGCTGAGTACGAGCCAGAAGAATTTGAGGAGAAATGGAATGCATTAGTAGAGGAATGCGAACTCCAGAACAACCAATGAGTGTCGAAAAAACTATTTGGGAGACGCAACGAATGGGCGGACACATACTTGCGCTCACATTTCTTTGCTGGGTTGACAACCACATCAAGATGTGAAAGCATAAATGCGGTTGTTGCAAGGTATGAAAATGAGAGGTTCTGTTTGCTTGACTTTTTCACTCAATACGACCGGTGGCTCAGGGACATGAGAGAGACAGAGATTAGATTAGATTTTGAGTCTAATTATGGTGTAGTTCCTATAAAGAATTCAATCCTAAAGCCCCTCAAGTAAATTGCAGCAAAGATTTTCTCAAAGGCTGCATTTCTTTTGTCAAAAATGAGTTGGAGGAGGTTATTGGAGTCATTAAGGGTAACCAAACTGAAGAGGGGAACCTACACACTTACACTGTTACCATGTTCAACAAAGAGAAGTCATAGAGGTGAAATACAACATTGAAACAAGCGATATGGAGTGCAGTTGTCAAAATTTTAAGAGTATTGGGATAGCCTGCGTTCATATGCTATTTGTTCTCAAAGAAGAAAAAGTGAAGACTATTCCTGAAAAACTGGTACTCAGACGTTGCTCGAAGAACCCAAAGTCCATAGACACTCTGCCAGAACCAAGTACATTGGGGAATGACAGCAGTTCCAACATTAGGTACGGGTCGCTACAGTTCATGTCTCAACGATTCTGCTTATTAGGAGCATACACTCCTCTCTCTTATCGAATGGCTCAAGATGAGTTGACAGCAACGTGTAACAAGTTGGAGATGATAAAGAAAACCCCCGCCGAGAGAGAAAGGATTGTCATACCAGACAAGTTCAAAGATGTATTGAACCCAAATCAAGTGAGGTTTAAGGGTTGTAGGAAAGGAAAAGGGAAAAAACAACTTAAGAAAAAAAGAAGAAAGTGTGGGAACTACGGGCTAAGGGATGGGCATTATAGGAGCACTTGTACTAACCCCCCAGCCGACGTGGTAGAATCTCAATCTGATGAGGAGGATGACGACGATGACATGGACGATGATGAGGACGATGATGGGGATGATGATGGGGACGACGAAGAAGATGGAGACGACGATTATGGAGATGATGACCAAGGTGGTCAGCCCCCAAAGGTAATTAGCATCTCTGGTTAGGTGTTCTTGATATAGTTATTAGAGTTAATAACCTACAGTTGTTATTTTGTTTTTACCAGAAGCAACGAACGAGCAGGCATAATACTACTGGAGAGCCCATAGGAAAACGTCAGCCACACTAGAAGGTTATATATCATTTGTTTATTCACTAAATTATCGATTTGTTAGAAATGGCTATTAGCTTAAGAGTTTATTTGCTCTCTAACAGATCGGGGCACGTACTAGGAGCAATACTAGTCAACAAGAGAAGGGAGCAGAGAAGGGAGCTAAGAAGCATACATGACATGGTGTTGGGAGTACTAGTCGGCATGATGACCGTCCAGGCGATGAACATCAACTGGTACTTTTCCAATCATGTTTTTTATTTAACCAGCAAGATTAGATGATTCTTTGTGTTGGAAGTTACATCTTTAATATTATTTTTTCTTATTTTGGTCTGCTACAGAAACAACATCAGACTAGAACCCGTGGTGCAAAGAACAGAAGCATTAAGAAAAACAAATGAAGTTCACTAGCACTTCCATAGCAAGAAGTTGAAACGCCCATGGAAAGCAATGACCACTTTTTATTGAGTATACAATTTCATTATTGATTTTAGGGGACAAAATCTTTTAGCTTGGTATATTTCACAAAAGTAAACTCCATCGACACTTCATATTTTTGTTGGACGAAGGGTACATTGCGGGACATGAACTGTTTGCAATTGAAAGGACATACCTGGCTTTTCTTCTTTGTTTTGTTTTGTTTTGTTTTTGTGTGTGAAGCAGACCTGGCTAGCTAATGCCTCACGGGTTGCTCCTCCATAAACTGACAGCATAAGAACATGTAGATCTTTGAATCAGATGTTGAAGCCAAATATATGGAAACCCATTCATGTGTCTAACCAGTAAAGCCGCCTAAAATTGTAACTATGACATTGGAAATGAGTAATTTACCTCCAGTCTGAAGTGCTTTTTCAATTTGTCCACTTCAGATTTTGTTTGGTAACACCACGAGCTGCTCCCTGATGAAAATGCAAACGAAATTTGCATGACTCAAACGGATAGCACAAAGGTTGCTAGTTCAGGAAGAGACTGCAAAAGGAAACAGATAGCAAAGAAACAAGAAAAATTACTCACGGCAGCAGAGGCATCTCGACTAAGTTGCAAAGAAGACATTCCTAGCTGTGAACCAAAATTCCTATGCTGCATGTACTCTTCTCAAGCTACCATCAGGGGCAGGAGCTTCTTCAGTACTCCAATGTATGGTCAACAACCTAATGCAAAATCACCAATTAAGAAACTGTTCTTTGGAAATATAGAAAACAAAACCCAAACGTTCCAGCAACACAATCGAAATATCTAACGGTGTTTGGTCTATACTACAAAACCCAATTCCATATTCATCCATCATCTACTATTTATTGAATATGAAGTTAAGAAACCATTGCTCAAGTTACTATCTGAAAATATGTAGAGCATTCAACATGACCTAGGAAGCTAAATGCAATTGTCCAGACAAGAGAAACAGTTCACAACATGAGCTCATACTAAAATCAGTTAAACAACCCGGTATAATTAAACAATGCAATCATTAGCTTGATGTGAAGGACTATGTTATATTTAGATGACTTTTATGTTCTGTTTAGAACCCATCTATCAACAAAGGCCAGATCTGTCAGCAAACACTCAAAGCTTAGATACCTGTTTTCGATGCCCAGTACCCTGCTTGTGCTGCTCCCATTCATGGCCTCCTCGAAGCACCTTATCTCCTCGAAGTTCCTTCAAGTTCTTCCTCCTCCCCCGATTCAGAAGCCTCAAATCAACATGAAAACAAAACGAAATAAAAGAAACGAGGTCAGAAACCCAAAGTTTGGACTCGGTAATTGGGGAGTGTCCAGTCATGTCCTGATTTTAAAAGGAACTCAAAGAAACGAAAAGAAAAATTGCATAGCAACTACCTGCAATCGTTTCTTAGGGGGCCTTTTTAATCCGAGGGAATGGGACCATAGCTGCCGCTCTTACCAATCCAGATTTGTTTTGTATGCATCTCGTGCCAAACAAAGAGGAAATCAAAGAACCGAAAACGAAAACCAAAAAATCGGGGAAGGAAAAGGAGAAGGAAAAGCGAGATTTCACTAACTCTTTATCTTCCAATTGGAGCATCTTCGCCTAACACAACCCAGAGGAACAACCCCAAATCCACCAGGTTTCATCAACCGAGCAACTCGTCGGCAGCTACGCAAAACCGCTGTCGCCAATCGATGGAATCGTCGACTCTCTCTCTCTCTCTCTACTCGTCGGCAGAAACGCCGAACCGCCGTCGCCAGTCGTTGGAATGATTGGAATTGTCAACTCTCTCTTTCTCTCTACTCGTCGGCAGAAACGCGGAACCGCCATCGCCTCTCTCTCTCTCTCTCTCTCTCTCTCTCTCTCAGATTGACGACATGCAAGATAGAATGAGAATGGGGGGTTCAGAATGAAGGAAACGTTTCTGGGGGACGAACTAGATCTTGTTCAAAAGACACGCAATTTTTTGGCGGAAAAAAGCGCTATTTTGAGAAGGTAAAAACCAAATTTTAACAATTTTGAATTTTCTTTTTACTTTGCATTTTGCCACTTCCATTAGGACACTTTTTTTTTACACATTTTTGTAATGAAAAATTAGAGAATGAATGGTTATTACTTTTTTCAATTCACCACAAATAAAATTTATCATATTTTCAATATTAAAATATGAAATTAATTTCGTATATAACATTTACAATTATAGATTATTTGACTGATTTTAAACAACATAATATAGTGTTGTCCATTAGTGAAGTTGATTGAGATAATGAAAATGGAAGATTGGAGAGACGATTAGTTAAGTAGTTTGGAGAGACAATTAGTAAGAAATGAAAATAGAAGATTGGAGAGACAATTAGTTAGACTACCTTTGAGATTGAAGAAACAGACTTTTGTCTTTTAGTTAGGTAAGTAGTTCTCGGGGTAATTAGCATAAATGATAACAAATCTTTGCACTTAGTACAAAATGGTCACAAACCTTTAATTTGGAACAATACGGTAACAAAACTTTGAAATTATATAAAATGGTCACCACTATTTAATTTATGATCGTTTTGTTTTAAACGCAAAGGTTTGTTACCGAAGCGTTACAAAATTAAATGTTGGTCATGTTTTGAGGTCGGGTAGTTTGTTCGTTAAGTATATGATACTAACCACTTGAACGACATATAAGATGTCAGGTCATGTGTTCGTCGACATATTTGCTTTGACGAATACGAATGCCCTCAGTTGACCTTTCAATTTGATACCAAGAAAGTAAGAAAGTAGACATAGTTTTTTCAACTAAAAAGCAGTCTGGAACCCGTTTGTGAGCCATTGAGTTCTCTCATTGTCATCCTAAACAACATAATATCATTCACATACATTAACAAAACCACCATACAACTAGAGTGAATTGTAACGGTGATTGAGCGTTCAAACTTTTGAACTTAATTTGTACAAAACGGTCACCAAAAGTCTAATTTGCAACGACACGGTAACAAAAGTTTGAACTGGTATGAAATGGTCACACTGTTTAATTTGTGACGTTTTGTTCTAAGTAAAAAAGTTTTGTTATCAATGGTTACAAATTAAAGGTTTGTGACTGTTTTGTACTAAGTGCAAAGATTTGTGACCATTTATTCTAATTACCCATAGTTCTCGTTTAGCTTTTTGCATTATATAAAGGAACATGTGATTTTTAAGAATTGTGGAGTATTTAAGTTGGGATAATTTTATTATTTCTTTTCGTGTAGTTACATGTTTTTAATTCTTGTGTTGTCCTTTAAGAGTGATTTTATTCGAATGAAAGATTAGTCGGTCCAATGGGAAGGTCCAGACCGAATCAAGCCATATATGGTTTGATCCAAACCGAATCAAAGTTATAACGATTCGACTTTGGTCCTTGATTTAGAAGAAATTTTGGTCGGGTCCAACAGAAATTTGTTAATACAAAAAATACAATTTATTGTTTTCAACGGATGAAAAGTAGACCTCAATTCCCTCATAAACCGCCAATAACTATTAGCAAAATTTTACTATTTTAATTTTAGTTTGTGATAATTTCAGGCGGCATGGCACTCCAATTTTTTAGGGAAAGTAAAACTCCTATAGAAAATTAAAATATTGGAGGGAGCTTCTAATAATTTGTATTCTTTTTAAATTTGGAAACGTACAATTAAATTTCATATTTACCCCCCAATAACTAAGAGGGAACTTTTAATATTTTAAATTTTCATTGCGATAAATTTTGGAGGCATACCTCTCCAAATTTTAAGGGTAATTCCAAATATTCGAGGTAAATGTATTGAATGCTAAAAAAGGAATTCCTTGTTTACGAATATCCAAAAGTATAATTTAATTAATTTTTTTCATGAATCGGCTGGGCTTATATTTAAGCTGAACAACCCAGTACATAAAAGGCAACAACTGTGCCCACTGAGTTTTTTTTTCTTTCTAGAAACCACTGATAAGGATTTCATTAAAATCAAGAATCAACTGCCTCAAAGGCTACAACGTCAGCTACCCTTTGTGGTAGAACATTACAATCAAAATGAGTTTCCTCATAAACTGAAACTAGATGAGCAAACACATGAGCTTGGGACCACAACAAAGCATACAAATCCTCCTTCAACATATCCGAACAAATGACCGCCAGTTCAGTTCTGCATATTTTCCCCTGTTTCAGTATCTCGATCACCATTTTACAATTTGGCTCTACCACAATCGGGCCAATTTCTTTCTCCTTCACTAGTCTGACCCCATAGAGAATAGCAATTCCTCCTGACAAGTGTCTTCGCTTTTGGCCTCACTTGACATAATTCTTCAGGGGTTTAACTCCTGCTGCATAGACACACCAAAAATAGCGTCATTCACAATACAGGAAACAAAGTCCGATGGAAGCTTGGGACCACAATAAAGCATACAAATCCTACTTTGGGTACTCATCTTGATAATGTTCTTCTCGCATGTCAGATTCCATCCTTCCATTCACACTCCCCATGGCAACGACGTGCACATATAATGAAAGAAAATTGCCAAATCAAACAAATGATATTCATAAAGCAAACTATAAAAAACGAAATTTTATTAAATTA